TTTCTACAGAATTACACATTTTATGGTTCCAAAAATAAATATGTTACAAATAAAGCACAATAGTAATTGTCATTTTGATCAAATTTTTATATCAATATATTGTGGTAGACCTTGCTATTAGATATGAAATATAGAATCATTCAAATTTCTTTCACGGAATATCTTAAAGTACTGGATCCTTTTAAGATTAGTTTTGATGACTTGTTGGCATATATCTGACAAAAATCTCATAACTTGACGGATGTTTATTTTTAAAACGCCAAAAGTTTTAGGATTTTCTATACAAATATAATTAATTGAGTAACCCTAAAGAAAAAATTGAGTGGTAATAAATAGTTTGATATTGATGACCAATTGACATCACCAATGAAAATATGACAAATCTGCAATCCGAATCTAAACAGGGCGGACTCTGGTACCGTCCGAATGAAACCACATATCTTCAATTACCTACAAAACAAAATTGGACATCATGTAGTGATAAGAATTCACGATTAATATCACACTTTCAAAAATGACTGGGGACCTATTACACCTCCAGAATAAATGCTGCATGTTCAACTAAGTTTTTGTGGATGCAAATGGTCTTTCGACACAGAATTAAATTTATCACATATCCACCAAGCAAATTATTAGACCTATCACTGAAGTAAATTCCATGCTAAAATTTGTCTTAATTTTTCTAGTAAATTTTAACAGTTTGAACAAGTTTGGTTGCTGTTAAGTATTCCACAATTAAATTACATCCATTAAATATTATAAATTATTATAATATAATTTATAATTGGGAGTTCTAAGATAAACAATTTTATAAGTCAGTCGTATCTAATAAAGTCACTCCTAATATATGCATATTATTGCACAACTTGCACACTTCCAATACATTTTAAACTACAATTTTTAATCATTTATGTGGACAATAAATAAGTCTTTATGAATACACTTGGTAATCACAAACTTGAGGACCTGGAAAATGAACCTGTGGGTTATGATTCAAAATCACTACAGTATTTTTACATTAGCTATGTTACAGTAGCACCAGTAGCTCCAGTCTGGTGCTATAATTGCTATGTACACGAGAACTATATTATGAAGATCAATTCAAATCTTATTCCCTTCAAGCAGTATATTTTTGTTTTTTTGTTTTAAATTAATTATTTTTTCAGTTAAATCACTGAAATGCAGTTTTACACCTCATAATATATATGAATATAATTATAGATCTAGGGCAAAGGACCTAATAGTTCAATTTCTTGTTCTTAGTTAACTTTAAAATTAATTTTAATCTTAACTCAAAAATAAATAAATGAATAAATTATGGGTTTTTTCATTCTTAAAGATACATTACAGATACAGATACAGATACTACTCAAATTCATTTAATAAATATTAATACAGAAATATAATACACATCACAAAAAATGGAATTATTGATCAATCTACACAAACCATCGGATAAGCAGGTGACATTCATATTATGAGCTGCTCCAATCCAAGTGTATCATACATTTTCTGGGCTTTTGATTTCCCAGATATTCTGTAAGACATTTAAACTTAAAATTTGAAAAGGAAAAATTAAGAAAGGTGACACTAAGCAGAAAAAACACAACAGCACTATACTCTCAGTTAAATTTCTAGACCCTACGGTAACCAAGTAAAACGCAATACTTATGTTAATTTAAAAAAGTGCACAAAATGTTCAGAAAAAATCTGTTGGTTCGATAATGTTTCAAAAGATACGAGAGCTCCACTTAACACCAATGGTGATAATACAAGATGATTCATTTCTTGAGCCAAAAAACAAGAAAAATGGTATTGAAGGTAAGCTAATTTTCATTATAACTCACGGATGCAAGGAGCAGAAGTGTGTGCCTCAATGAAGGAGTGATGCGAATACACAGTCTAGCTTTATCAACAGACAACCTCGCCTATGCGTGGTGCATCCTGTTATCGCATTTAAGGTTCTAGAGACCAAGCACAGCCAATAAACGGTAAACGTTTTCCAGACGGAAAACTCTCTAGCTACCAAACACGAATTTTATCCCCAGGTTTAAACCCAGTTTAAACTAAGGTTGTTTTCCTTCCACATGCTAAAAGTGCAGCATACGAGTCCTTTGTCCAGGATATGAAAAAAATCGTATGAGAGAAGGTCCATTTTAAATATAAGCCGATATACGATATATTGCCGATATATGATATATTGTCAAAATACGGTATATTGCTTTATTAATATTGGTCCTTCTATTTTCAATACTATTCAATTTACTGCTACAAAATGGGTTGACTTCAATTTTTTTCTGACAGACTTTCTTCCTCATTCTATTTGATCTTCCTACATAAGTAT